TAGGAAGTTCTTGAGTTTCCAAGCTTGGGTATATAATTTGTGAGGCTCTTGTGTATGCAGGAAAAGTGGTCCTGCTTAGAAAACATCCATCCATCTAGCAGGTCTTCCTTTAGCCATTTCACTGCTAGAAAAAATCTAAAGCATTGTCCCTAATTGTCTTGTTATTGCTGGAAAAAAAAGGTTATACTGTATTTTCTTCTTTTTATCATGAGGGTAAGTAGCCACTACTTCATAAAATATGTTGCAAAACCATTAAAGAACTGTTTTTGGTGTAAGTCTGGAGACTTTTACATTATTCACCATGGGTACTATCCACTCACTGGGTAGCTGTGATTACCACACCAAAATCTGCATCTATCTCAGCTCAGGAATAGTTGTCATGCTTATGTGAACTAGTTTGGCTTTTCCAATCCACTGCTTAAGGTGCTACAAAAATCTGAAAATCTAGCCTTACTGGTATTGTGATAGAACTATAGAAAGGAAAGGTTTCATTGTAGATATGAATGGCTCTGGAATATCTGCAACTGAGAGGAAAGGTCACGTTTCCAGAGACTTGAAGGTGGCATAGTAAAGCCATGTTCATGTATAAATGTAGCTTATATGTTGTTGTTAGTCGCAAAGTCATGTCCGACTCATCGCAACCTCATGGACAACATTCCTCCAGGCCTCCCTGTCCTCCACCATCCCCTGGAGTCCACCCAAGCCCACACCGACTGCTTCAGCTACTCCATCCAGCCACCTCATCCTCTGCCGTCCCCTTCTCCTTTTGCCATCTATTGTTCCCAGCATTGGGCTCTTCTCCAGGGAGTCCTTCCTTCTCATTAGGTGGCCAAAGTATTTGAGTTTCATCTTCAGCATCTGGCCTTCTAAAGAGCAGTCAGGGTTGATCTCCTCTAGGACTGACTGGTTTGATCGCCTTGTGGTTCAAGGGACTTGCAGGAGTCTCCGCCAGCACCACAATTCAAAGGCCTCAATTCTTTGGCACTCAGCCTTCCTTATGGTCCAACTTTCACAGCCATACATTGCAACTGGGAAAACCATAGCCTTGACTATATGCACTTTTGTTGGCAGGGTGATGTCTCTGCTTTTTAGTATGCTGTCCAGATTTGCCATAGCTTTCCTCCCCAGGAGCAAGCGTCTTTAATTTCTTGGCTGGAGTCCCCATCTGCGGTGATCTTGGAGCCCAGGAAAATAAAATCTGTCACTACCTCCATTTCTTCCCCATCTATTTGCCAGGAAGTGAGAGGACCGGATGCCATGATCTTAGTTTTCTTAATGTTGAGTTTCAAGCCAACTTTTGCACTCTCCTCCTTCACCCGCATCAAGAGGATCTTTAGTTCCTCTTCACTTTCTGCCATGAGAGTGGTATCATCTGCATATCTGAGGTTGTTGATATTTCTCCCAGCAATCTTAATTCCAACTGGGGATTCATCTAGCCCTGCCTTTCTCATGATGTGTTCTGCATATAAGTTAAATAGGCAGGGCGACAGTATACAGCCTTGCCGAACTCCTTTCTCAGTTTTGAACCAATCAGTGGTTCCATGCCCAGTTCTCACTGTTGCTTCTTGACCCGCATATAGGTTTCTCAAGAGAGAAATAAGATGGTCTGGTACTCCCATCTGTTTAAGAACTTGCCACAATTGGTTGTGATCCACACAATCAAAGGCTTTAGCATAGTCAATGAAGCAGAAGTAGATGTTTTTCTGGAACTCCCTAGCTTTCTCCATGATCCAGCATATACGGCATCGCTCATAGCTTCACTGAGCTACGCAAGTCCCTTCGCCACAACAAGGCAGTGATCCATGAAGGAGTTTGTGCTTCTAAAACAACCCTAAATGAGGGAAAATTTTTCTGGAATGAAATGAGGCAGGTCCACAAAGCTGATAGGGCAGAAGGGATTTCTGCTCACCTGTCCTGATCCATTGCCCTTTCTGGGCTTATTTTTAAAAACATCAAAACCCCATTGCACAAGTAGTGGGTGCCATGGACACAACAGAACCAATGGAGACAGAGTAGCACCACTGAATACGGCCCAGCATTTCAACAGGAAAAAGGCAAAACCATTCACTCTGGGATTGGGAACTATGTAAATTGACAGCACCTGAAACAAAAGAATGTGTCTCCTTTATGATATACTTAAGCATAGTTAAAGTTTTTGGCTCACTGCACAAAATGGTTCCTAGAATGTCAGTGAATGAGAGCTAGAGAAAAACTTATTAGTGGTGATATTTCCTAGGATGCTGGTATCGTGCTCAATATTAGTTCTAATTCAGTGGGTCCCTCTACAAAAGCTTATTGTCCCCTAATGGGAAATCTACAAAGTAAGTTTCACTTCTTTATTAAAAATCAACAAGCAAAGGATGAAAAAAGTTACCCTGTTACACAGTCTCCCCCCCCCCCCCCATCACACTCACACCTGCTCTTTCATTTCGGCTCCTTAAGTACCATTGCGAGCCAATTCATCATTATCATCATCGTATTTTATTCCCTTCCAGCTGAAAGAGAAAATCCCTTTTGGCTGAAAGTGCAGAATGTGACAGCTACTTAGAAATCACCCATGTACAAAATCAACTGGAAGGAAATGACCTTTTCAAGTGTGGTCTTTAGACAGATGGGATTACACTGTCCAAGGAACGGTTATGGGAAGAAGGTATTTAGCCAGAATTAAACCCCTTTTGCTACTTCTTTCTTACATCTTCCCCACCATAATATGAAGGGGACAAGGAGACTATCCGTCAATTCTACCAGCAACAATGATTACCTCCCACTCGTTGGTCAATAAATTGCTGCCACTTACAAGTCAGATCTGATTAAGACACAGCTAAGACTGAAAGGTTATCAATCCACTGCTTAGACCTCCTTTGAGCTTTCTCAAATCATATTGTTTGATGCACTTTGCCAATCTGATTGAATCATAAAGAGTAACAGTAACATTAGCTCTGCTACCCACCTATATGCACATATCACCATTCCTGATAAGAGTATTTGCATCAGGATTCAGGACAACAGCAGCCAGTCATTCCAACCAGCCGGGGACAGCTAGCATTTGAAAAATAAACAGCTGGCTGTGATTGATTCAACGACTGATAATTTTAGTCACTTCAAGTGCTAATGTGCATTTGATATTCATATCAGAATCAGAGTTGTTTGGTTTCAGGCACCTTTAGATCTTCATGGAGGGGGGAGGCTGCAGGAATAGAAACTATTCTGTATTTAATACTCTTGAACTTCACAGGAAATGAATTAAATGATTCTCCACTCGGGCATCTAATGTAATTTCCCCCACATCCCTTTGCTTTGCCCCTGCCCCCAGTTTATGAAGGACTCACTGGTGGGATCTCCTGAGGCTTGGTATCAAGGCTAAATGGAACAGAAACGGAACAGAGTTCTCCTGCCAGGAGAAGCCTCACCATTACCAATTCTATATCAGTATCAGCTGACTCAATCTCTTCTGGAAACCAGTCCGTAAGTCTGCCAACTGTATCAATGAGCAGGGGCAAACTGTCTCTAGTCATAATGAACAAAAGTGAAATTCTCCGCATTGCTTTTGCATTCTATTTTAAAGGCATTCCCACATATTAGAATCACCTTTCTGGTGGTGAACGGATTTCTGCTCCAGAGATTTCTGATGACAACAACAACAAACAGCAATGATGCCAAGGGCCATGGCATAGTGGCGGGGCACATGCCTTCTCTGCAAATGTCCTGGGTTCAACTCCCAGTATCTCCAGGTAAGGCTGGAAAGACCTGCCTCAAACCCTGCTGCCAGTCAGTGCTAACAAAACTGGGCTAGATGGATCAATGAACTGACTTGGTGTGAGGCAGCTTCCTATGTTCCCAACTATGTACTGTACATTACAAAACAAAACAAAAAGCAAACATATGTCAGGGCAAAGTGAGCAAAAACTCTGCTAAAATACAGCTGCAGAAAGCCTGGCACTGGAAGAACAGCTTTAGACTTAGGGTGGGATCCTGAGCTCATCAGAGAAAGCATGTGGCAAGTCCTGTTCCCCAGCGATGCGCTAGATATGCTAATGTATACCTGTGCTGAAACTTTTTCCTTTTGTACCCGTTGTCTTGATCCATTCAACCCTTCTGTTTTATTCTCATATGCCTCTAGCAAACAGATTTTCCTACCCTGCCCCAAGCTGTGTAGGCAACTAATTGATTATAAAAGCATCCTGTACAGACTCCGTCTCAGCAGTCCCTTCCAGGGCCAGGGCCTACCTACGTGCCGAATAAACTGTAAATGTTCTTTTGATTGTACACCCCCAGGATACCTGCACTCACTGTTTCTTGACACATACAATTGTAAAGATAGCATTAAAGGGAAGCAAGTCAAGTAAAGGGGACGGCAGATCAAACAATGAACCATATAAAACACATCTTAAAGCAAACACAACACTTGTTTGAAGCAGGGATGGTGTTTATATGACACTTGATGTCCCATATAATGAAGCACTTCAGAAATTACAGTTGGATGAAAACATTCATTCAAACACCACCGTTTTGAATGAATGGCATTTATCAGGGGGTCCCAATTTCACTTCAAGGGCAGAAGGAAAAAGTGGCATGCAACATCAAATGCTGCCACTGGCCAGCAGTATGAAGCCTCGGGATTGGTCGGGCTGGATATACTGAGCAGGGCCACCATGCCTGCTGGCTTGCTGCACAGACTACGTGGCGGCTGCCCTTGAGCACCTCAGCAGAAGCCCTGGACTCAAATAACCTGAAGTGGAGGACCTTCAGCTCAAGATGTAGGGACACCTGACTCAACCCTGCCTGTCACCATCAAAGCACTCTGCAGGAGACAGTTGCTTTTCTCAAGCTCTAGTAATGCTGCACTGTAGCATTTAACTTATTTCTTGTAAGAGTACATAACCCTTGCTTTGCCTGGAATAACAAAACACGCTGTACCAGGAAAACCATTTTCTCACCTCCAAATGCTCACAGGGAAATGCTTTGCGGGAAGGGGAATTGAAGGCACTGCTGGTACTTACAAACACTTCAATGGTGACGGGGACAGTGCTGTTGAGCGCCGGGAAACCTGCGTCTTTAGCCATGACAGTCAAGTAAAGAACTCCATTGAGAACTTGCTCATAATCCAAAGGGCGGACAACACTGATCACTGAAAAGGCAAGAAGCCTGTGTTGGCAATTATTGATATTAGACATTTTTTTAAAAGTCTGAGCATAATGCATGTGCATATATGGCTTGGACTCACCTCCATAACCTTCAGACAAAGTAATGTCAAAGTAACTTCGGAACGCAGAAGCATCCACAATGCTGTAAGTGATCTGGTTGTTTGGAGGAGAATCTTCATCAGATGCCTACATTAAATCAGAAGAAATGCCTTACTATTACTCACACATTGATATATATTGATATTTATTGGAATGTTTACACAACAGATTAAGTGCTAATTACCCAAGGAAAGTATCTTTATGAACTTTAGTCAAGACATGTTAACCATATCCTTTGTAAGGAAAAATGGGTGCAGATACCTTTATTAATGTGTCTCATGAGGGACAACAGATTTACTGGCTGCTAGGAATGCTTCTGTTTCTTTCCTCCACTTACCTTCTACTTGTATATTTCGGAATAAGCAAAATATTGCAAAAATGTCACAAGCTTTCAGTCACCTTTCCTTCCAGAGGCAACTAAGGCTGGGCAGTGAGAAAGCCATGTGATGTAGTGGTTCAGGGTGTGGGACTGGGACTCAGGTGATCTGGGTTCTAGTCCACACTTGGCCATGGAACCAGCTGGGTAACTTTGGGCCAGTCACAGACTCTAAGCCCAACCTCCCTCACAGGATTGTTGTTGTGAGACTAAGATTGAGTGGAGGAGGAGATTTATGTAAACCTCCTTCAGTTCCTTGAAAGGAAAAAGGGGGAATACAAATATAAACAAACAAACAAAACGGATCCATCACAGCTGAGGAATGTGGGAGAGGCATTTAACAGTCTCTGAGCTTCAGCAATTTTCTCAAATGATTTGAAGAAAAACTTCTGGAGGGAATGATTGATCTTTTGGGTGGAAGGACTAATTTCACTACAGTATTTCACATGATGTTTGAACAGAGAAGATAAACAAGGTTGCTTGTGTAGGGTAGTTGTATAGAGTTGGGTTCTAGTTCATATTGGGTTCTATTTCCCATTGGACCATGAAGCTTAATGGGTGTCTTTGGGCCATGAGCTTCAACGCCAAGCCAAGTGGAGGCCAGAACTCTCACTTTTACTCTCAATGGGTATGTTTTGAGGATAAATGGAGAGAACTGTGGTATCACCTTGGGTTCCCTGCCAAAGGAAAAAAGGCAGGATGTAAATAAAATAGTAACAAAAATTTCCATCTATTTGAAAGGAGATTTGCTAGTTCGGAAGGAAACTAAGTTTTTCTTTAGATTCTGTAGCTGAACAGTGTTCAGCCACGTAGAACCAGTGGCTGAACACTGTTCAGCTACAGAATCTGCTCCCAATGAAAGACTGAGGCAGAAGTTTTGCTATCTGGAAAAAAACTATAACTAGACACATCAAGGGACAGGCTGAAGACTTCCTCCCTTAACAACAGATAAGTTATTGTCCCAGCCTGTTAACGAAAACCTTTTGATGCAGTGAACTACACACCCACAAAGAGCGTGGTAGAACATTCCAGGAAGAGAAAAGGCTTATCAAAAGGGGACACACTCTGGAGATCACCTGAAATTAGACTTGCGTGTATATACCCCCAGACAGCTCTAACAGTGCTCTGGCAAACATTTGATTTTTTAAATTACTTTCTAGTTGGGGAAGGGTCAAATGCTTCAAATGAGAACAGTGTGGATGAATGACTCTATTCATTGGAACCTTTTCTTTCTGGTGAGCTTCTGCTTTTGACTGTGCATTTAAAGCAAGTGAAATATTGTGAAATCCCTTTGACTTTTCCTCTTTCTCCCTCCTTGCTTTGTGGGCATTTCCTCATGCCAAGGACTGCTATTCAAGTGGGATGTACTCTGTCTTCTGCATTTCAAACACATCCAAAAGGAAGTGTTATTTCTGTCAGTAAATCTGCATCTCCATTTAGCCAGGCATTCATCTGTTCCTACAGCATTCACAAGAAACAGCTAAGTGGAGAGGATACTTCATGCATTTTTTTTACTTAGACAAATGATAACATCCTTCCAATCCAGACACAAAAACTCAGATAGCCTCAAGGTAATTCCCAGTCAACTTCAGTGTAATGAAATCCGATTTAGGAAAATCCTGGGCCAAAAGCACAGTGATAAGCAAGTTCTTCCTGAGTCATCTCATAATGAACTCAGTTTCCACTTAACTTTCTCAGGGAATTCTCAAGGCAAAGGGTCTCCAGCACAACCCTGCTCCACAGCCCTGCTCCACAAATCCTTCCCACTCCTATCTTCTCCTGGGTGGGGAGGAACTAGAAGAGAGTCAAAGACTTTCAGGGCTAATTCTTAAACCCATGTGACTCCTGGACATGTCCAGAATGACATTTATTCCCTGGGTGAATGGAAGTTATTTCCTATGCCCCAGATTTAATGAATTTGGCCAAGAGTCATTGGAAAATAAGACCCATACTCCTGTGCATATTAGACACCCAATGTATCAACTGGCATGCCACAGCAAACCTTTACAGACAAAACTTAAACAGCACCCATCTTCCAAGGAAAAACACCCAGAGCAAGCAAATATTCAATTGACATCAGACAGACAAATATGACAAAGCATTCTTTCCAATATCCTTATCTGCATTCCAATATTCTTATCCTTGTATTCTCTGCATCCCCTTTTCTCCTTATAGTCACCCCAGCAGTTTCATCAGACATGTTATGTTTCTCAGTAAATCTTATGTAAACCACATGACCGAGGTTAGCTTGAGAAAATGTTAATTCTCTCTTGTATACTTCCTCAAAGTAAAAAAGTATCTCATACTTTTTTATAGTTCTGGATGGGTAGAAAGTTTGCTGTGATTTACTCTCCAGGCAATTTGCAATAGATCTGCAAAAGTTTCTGACTTTTGACTATTTAACAATAGTGACAACAAAGAGGCTCAAGCCCAGTAAACTAGGGTGCTGAAGTGAATAATGCTCACAGAAGAAGTAACGATTATTTGTGTGTGAGAACATTGCGAGCTAACTTCTGGTACTAAGGACAAATTCCTGAGCTCCAAGTTGTCTTGTTTCAGGCCATGAGTTCTGATGATGCTCTAAGGCAGGGGTGTGCAACCCACTGCCTGCGGGCTGCACATGGCCCAAGAGGGCGGCTCAACGTAAAATCATAAACTTCAAACATAGAGGTCTTTTTGCAATTTTTGGGTGACTCTACCATGTGGTTCTTGACTATGAACTTTGCAAAAAGCAATGTCACACTGTGATGTCCTATAAAATAAATGCATATTTGCTCTTGCGATGTGCATGCACCGTGGTGGCAGGTATCACGAAAATTCTGCACATTTTTTTGGCTTGTTGGCATTCATTAGTGCACGTGTATTTAATGTGCTGCCCAAGCTCATTTTTCTTTTTCTGATGCAGCCCGAGGAGCCAAAAGGTTGGACACCTCTGCTTGGATTTTCAGGCTTCTTGTAGGAATCAGTTCTTGAGCAGGGATCAGGCTGGATCAGGTTCCTCAAGAATCAAAGGCAGAAAGAGATCAGCTTCACAGAAGTTCCAAACGGTTTTGAGGGTGG